CCTTCCCTTGTCATTATTTTTTCATTGATGATATAGGTTTTACATTTAGATTTCTGATCCATCTTGAGTTAATTTTTAAAGTATGATGTGAGATATGACTCCCTCTTTTTCTGTTCTGCAAATGGGTATCCAGTTTTGCCGACACCATTTGTTAAAGACATCGTCTCTTGTCTGTCTGTGTGTTTTGGCCCTTTGTCAGGGATCAGCAGTATGTAGGTAGATGGATTTACTTCTGGGTTTTAATTCTGTTCCATTGGTCGCTGCATCATTGCTGTACCCATGCCAGACTGCTTTGACTATTGCGCCTGTATAGTAGATTTTGAGATCAGGAAATGAGAGGCCTTCCGCTTTCTTCTTCTCCATAATGCTTTGCTTACCCTGGGTCTCATTTCATTTCAGATAGAGTTGGTGATGAGTCTTTCCATTTTCGTAAAGAACGATGTTGGAGCCTGGGTTGGGATTGCATTATATCTGTAGATCACTTTGAGTAGTACTGACATTTTCACAATGCTAAGTCTTTCTATCCATGAGCGTGGTCTTTGCTTTCATTTATGTAGGTATCTTTTGGATTCTTAGAGTGGTGTGTTGTAGTTTTCCATGTACAGGTCTTTTGCTTCCCTGGTTATATTTATTCCTCAACACTTCATCCTGTGTAAGTGGAGACTAGAATGAGAGCAGACCACCTCATCTTTCTCCTGTGGAGCAGTTGGTGGATTTGAACCACCGACCTTGTGGTTAGCAGTGGATGCAAACCACTTGTACTATCTTAGAACCTTGAGAGGGTGTGTAAGGCTAGTAAACATTGGGTGCCTCTGTGCATATTGTGTCATGTGATGTAGGTGCTTTGGGTTCCATACAAAATCACCAGGACAGGTAGCAATACTCTGATGGGAGAGTCGGTGCTAAAGGCTAGTGTAATCCAGGGACACTTTAGGATGCAGGACTTCGGCTGTACTTTCCAGCAGAGGATAGATTTAGACAAGAAGAGCCAGAGTCGGAGAGGGCATCGTCGGCACCAGAAATAGTAAGAGCCAAGGTTCAGAGGCTGGGCACTCAAAGGTGACTGTGGGGAGACTGGAAAGGCAGGGATAGGCACTAGGGCCCCTTGAAGCTGCTTCACGTAAAGGACATACCAGTGGCAGAATGCTCACCTTCCCCAGGGAGACCTGGATTCCATTCCCAGCCCAGTGCGCCTCCTGTGCAGCTACCACTCATCTGTCCGTGAGCCTTGTGTGTTGCTAGGATACTGAATAGGAAGAGAGACCTGATGGTCTCCTCCCCCAAGCCAGCCAGTGAAAACGCTCTGGATTACAGCCGTCCAGTGATGGTGACGCGCAGGACTCAGCAGTGCACCTGGGGCTTCCGGGAGTCCAGACAGCTCCACAATACTAAAACCCTCCAGGACCGCTAACAACAATAGAGCTTCTCCAGTTGATAGCCCTATGTTTACTTCTTCCTTTGTTAAAAATGCCCCCCGCCCCCATCCCCAAACCCTCCCCTGCTAGATGACGTTTCTCATTATAGCGACAGAGCCCGGTAGGCAGTACGTATTTGTTGAGTGAACAAATAGCCTATTGAATCAGCAAATAATCACATTTTGCAGTATGGAGAGCAAGTGTTTGTCAAATGTCAGGTCTGAGGTGATGTTGTTCGAAGCTTGGTCTGCCTCTGGTGTAGGAGCTGGAGGCAGCTCGAGAGACTGCCCGGTCTGTCTAAATAAGATAGGCTGGATGAACAATCTGGAGGAGAAAACAACGGGACTGACAGTTCTGGGGTGACATGGGAGAGGGGTAGGTGGGGGGAAAGGTAGTGGTGTTAACAAACCCAGGGACAAGGGAACAGCAAGTGATCGAAATCAGTGGTGAGGAGGGAGTGGGAGGCCTGGTAGGATGTGATCAAGGGTAATGTAACCAAGAGGAATTACTGAAACCCAAATGAAGACTGAGCATGATAGTGGGACAAGAGGAAAGTCAAAGGAAATAGAGGAAAGAGCTGGGAGGCTGTATTAGTCTGGGTACTTAGGAGAAACAAATCCACGGCGACTCATGTATAAGAGAGAGTTTTATGTAAAGAAAAGGTGCATCACGAAAACATCCCAACCCAATGCTGCCCAAGCCCACAAGTCCAACATTAACCCATTAACCCAACACCAGTCCACAAAGTCCTCCACCTCACAAAACAGAGGCAATGATGCCGACTGCAGGAGGAAAGCTGAGTCCGTGAATGTGTAAGCATCTCAGCACTGGCAAGGGTCTCTACACGGCTGCATCGGGATAGATCCATGCGGCTTCTCCTTGGGGATGTCTTGGAGGAAGTCAATCTTGCAAGCTGAAGCAGGGAACTGCTAAGGCAGCTGCACCCGATACAACCATCACAAAACAAGAGACCTGAGAACTAGAAAGGCGAGGCTTCACCACCCATTTATCCCTCCGCCTTTCAACAAGCACCACATGTGATTATCGGCCAGGCTGGCACAATTAACTAACTCAGAGGCAAAGGGCATTTATAGAGGTCTAAATAAAGCATGTACATATGTAACTATATTTATATGTGAGGATAGGGAAATAGATCTATATGCGTATATTTATAGGTTTAGTATTAAGGTAACAGATGGACATTGGGCCTTCACTCAAGTACTCCCTCAATGCAAGAACACTTTGTTCTATTAAACTGGCATTCCATGATGCTCACCTTCCCAACACGATTGATGAAGACACAGGCAGGTGAATAAGCAAATGTGGTGAAGAAAGCTGATGGTGCCCAGCTATCAAAAGATATAGCATCTGGGGTCTTAAAGGCTTGAAGGTAAACAAGTAGCCATCTAGCTCAGAAGCAACAAAGCCCACATGGAAGAAGCACACCAGCCTATGCAACCACGAGGTGTCGAAGGGATCAGGTACCAGGTATCATCAGAACAAAAAATCATATCATTGTGAATGAGAGGAGCGTGCAGAGTGGAGACCCAAAGCCCATTTGTAGGCCACTAGATATCCCCTTACAGAAGGGTCTCGTCAGTCAGGGTGAGATGTAGCAACAATGAAGCATACAACTTTCCTCTAGTTCCTAAATGTTTCCCCCCATACCCCCCCCCACCCCACTATCATGATCCCAATTCTACCTTGCAAGACTGGCTAGAGGGAATCCAGGGCGGAGGACCCCTTCAGGACCAGTGGTGTGAGTGGCGATACTGGGAAGGTGGAGGGAGAGTGGATTGGAAAGGGGGAACCAATTACAAGGATCTACATGTGACTTCCTCCCTGGGGGACGGTCAACAGAAAAGTGGGTGAAGGGAGATGTCTGACAGGGTAAGATATGACAAAATAATAAATTATCAAGGGTTCATGAGGGAGACGGGAGGTGGGAGCGGGGAGGGAGGGGAAAAAATGAGGAGCTGATGCCAGGGGCTTAAGTGGAGAGCAAATGTTTTGAGAATGATGAGGGTAACGAATGTATAAAAGTGCTTTATACAATTGATGTGTGTATGGATTGTGAAGAGTTGTATGAGCCCCCAATAAAATGATAAATGAAAAAAGAGAGACTGCCCAGCGAGGGGGACTTGTTGGGTAAGGGTGCAACAGGAGATTGGTTGGGAGCCTTCCAAGGGCTTAGGGAAAGCATGGAAGAAGAGAGAGATGAAGGGGAGACCAGGAGGGTGCTCCCGGGTCCTGGAGGGCAAGGACAGATGTGGGTTTTTCATTCGAAAACCATTGCAAGAACAACTTTATTGAGCACGTTGTGCAGCCCACGGTGCTGACTGAAGCACACTGGTGTGGCCACATAGGCCGCCGCCCTGGAGGAGCCACAGTTCTGGGGTGGGTGGGGCGGGAGGCCACTTTGCCTCGGGGCCATGCTCAGGGAGGTGGCCAGGAAAGGTACAGTCCAAGGGGGAAGATGGAGAGGACACAATCAATCACACTTCCTTTGGTGTTTCTATTTTCCGAATGTTTTAGAATACCTCTGTCTGCCTTTTATCGCCCATGAGAGTGTTTGCTCAAACACAAGAGGCAAGGCAGGAAACGGGCCGCTCAGAAGGTTGGCTCCCTCTCATGAGTGTTGGGTCTGCTTGGCTGCAGGTGGAAGCGGGCAAAGGCCTGGAGATGCGGAAGTTGGTTCTCTCGGGGTTCCTGGCCAGCGAAGAGATCTACATTAACCAGCTGGAGGCCCTGCTGCTGGTGAGTATGTTTGCTCTGGGGCCTTCCGGTCCCCTGGTTGGGCCAAAGTGATTTTGCAACTGCAGGGGATGGGGAATTGGACCGAGTCTATGGTGCTGCTCTGCTTACCGTCGGTCCTTCGCCAGCGAGGACTTGTGCCTCCCACGACCGACCTTGCTCTGGGAAAGGCAGGAGGAGAAGCACAGCCAGGGTAGGAGTGACAAGCACAAGGTGGCACTACCCTGCACACTGCTCACGACCGTGGTGTAAATAGTATCAATCTGATCACATTCTCCACATGCTGTGCTCTGGGCCAGATTCTTACTCCTCCCTGGGACAGGGAACCGAGAGTACCCTCAAGGCTCTGTGTCAGGAAACGGGGGGGGGGGAGGACTGTCTAGGTCGTTTTGAGGCACCTTAGCTCTGAGCCATTAGCTAAACCTAGACTTTGGTAAAGGTCACTCAAATGTCCTCATCTATATGATGGAGTGAAAATACCGAGGCTCTCTCTCTATATATATATCTATAGATAGATAGATAGATAGATAGATAGATAGATAGATAGATAGATAGATAGATAGATACACATATACATGTACACATATATTCCAGGGTTGTTGTGAGAGTCAGATGGGCAAAGATGAAAATATTATCAGAAGGTGGAAAGACTACACAAATCTAAGATGTTTTTGCCTTTTGAAGAAAGTGCTTATTAGATGCGTCTGGATATTATGCAGAGTGATTGAGCCGTAAAAAAAGTTCTTCCCCTTTGGGAGTGTTGCAATCTGAGACATCAGGTGGTATTAGAAGGAGGAGGGGTAAGAAGTGTGGTATAGATCAGCAGAAACTCATTCTTACATAAGACTTGGGAGTTAAAGCACGCGTTGATGTGGCTGGGTGATATGTGAGATGGAGCTACCCAAGGTCTCAAGAGGACTCGGCATTTTCCACCCGATGAATAACGATACCTAAAGGTGTCGACCCTTTGGAATAGACAAGGTCAAGTTTGTGGTACATTTTCATAGGCATGGTCTGTTTTCCAAGTGAGGGACATGGTGGCAGGTAGATGAGGATTCTGAATCTGGGCCAGAATGCAGGTGCGCTCTCACTGGGCTGTTGGGGTAGGATCGCTGCGCTGTGTTTCACCTTGTGTATTTGGCCCCATCGATGGGTTATGAAATCGATGTAGGTCGGATCACTATTAAAAAAAAAATGAAATAGATACTGTCAGCATACCTCACAACTAGTAAGGACAAGCACTATCTCAAGAAACTGTTGGCAGTTGTAGGAGTCTGTCGGCTTGTCATGGTGGCTTGCGTGCTACTAGGATGTAGGAAGCTCTGCCGCCAACATTTCAATGATCAGCAGGGTCCCCCATGGTTGGCAGGTTTCAATGGAACTCCCAGATGAAGACAGGTGAGCAAGAAGAACCTGGTGATATACGTCTAAAAACCTAAAAACTAAAACTGGCTGGTGAAAGCATTATGAACAGCAGTGGAACATTGCCTGATACAGTGCCAGAGGTCGAGTCTTGCCAGTTCGAAGGTACTTGAAATCTGCGTGGGGAAGAGCAGTGTGATTGGTTTTGTGTCAACCTGGCTGGGCCATGATTCTCCATGGTTTGGCCATTGGGGCCAACAAATCCCCATGATGTGCTCTAACCTGATGTAATCAATCACATAATGGCATCTGCTGTGAGCAGCCAAGCAGTTGTAAGAAGATGAGGGTGGGATGAACCCCTTGTCTCAGGTCGTAGCCTGCTGCTGTTGACAAGAAGTTTCATCAGGGATGCGGCCTACTTCCGTGATAAGTGGTTGCTGGGGGGAACGCGCCTGCTTTCTGCTGGGTCTGGAGTCCACCTCCGGCTCATCCGTTCTTTGGACTCGATGCTTTGGACCCTTCTCCCTTGGACTTAGCCAACTACCTGCCATATTGCCTGCAAACACAGGGAGCCATCAGCGACCTGCCATCTGAACTGCCCCCCTTGGATGAACCTGCCTCTCCAGTCATAAACCTGATCCACTGACGCTGGATCCAGGCCCCTCTGTAGCTTGTGTCGTCTTCTTGCCAATCCTGGATTCCTCAGTCCCCAAGGCTATGCAAGTCAGGAGAAGCCTCTCACCCAACTCTTGGCCCGTGCACTGGGGACCTGCCAGGACTTGCCTGTCTCTTCAAGCGTGCGAGCCATTTTCCCGACATCAGTTTTTGACTTATATACACATAAATATAAATGTCACTGGTTGGGCTTCTCTAGAGAACCAGCCGATCCCAAGCTGCTGCTTCCAAGTGCAATCAACCTTAATGGCATGAATGGAGTCAAGCCTTCAAGACCTTCACTTGCTAATGTGGCACCACTCAAAGTGGAAAAACGAAAAAGCTTCAAGCACCCATTAATCATCAGCCCATGGAATGTACGAAGCCGGAATCTAGGAAAACTGGAAGTCGTTGAAATGAAATAGAAAGCACAAAGATGGATCTCTTCGGCATTATGATTGCTGTTAGGTGCTGTTGAATCATCTCTAGTCGTAGCACCTCGGTACTTAACACGACAATGCACTGTCAGGCCGGTGCCCTCCTCACCTCAGTGAGCACTAGTAAGCGGAAATGGACGGGTACTGGCCATTTTTAATTGGCTAATCATATGGTCTGCTAAGCTAAGAATGACACATTGACGAGGATCTACCCTGAGTCCCACACTGCCAGTCATAGGAGAACATGCGTATGCCTCCCAGGAAGAGCAGCAGCGTGACTATCGTTCAAACGTGTGCCTCAGCCACTGTTGCCAAACGTGAATTGAAGGTTTTTGCCAGCTTCTGCTGTCTAAAATTGATCAAACATGCACCCAAGATGCATTGAGCATTCCTGGTGATTGGAATGCAAAAATTGAAAGCAAAGAAGAAGGCTCAGAAGTTGGAAATATGGCCATGGTGATCAATAGTGCCGAATTGTGGCATGGTAGAATTTTGCAAGACCAATTGCTTATTTGTTGCAAATACCCTTTTCCCCACTATATACACAGCAACTATACAAATGGACGTGCCAGATGGAAAATACCCAACAATCAAATGACTGTGCCAAGGAGGTGAGAGATGGAGCCCTGGTGGCGTGGTGGTCATGCATTGGGCTGCTAACTGCAATGCCAGCAGTTTGACACCACCAGCCCCTTCCTCAGGAGAAAGGCGGGACTTTCTGCTCCCGTGGAGAGTTGCAGTCTTGAAAACCCACAGGGGCAGAGCTGCCCATCCTGCAGGGTCACTCGGAGTCTTCATCGACTCTATGGCAGTGAGTTTTTATGAGGGGGGAAAAAAATGGAGACGCTCAATCTCAACAGTTAGAACAAGGCCAGGGTTCATCAGCTGCTCATATACAAGTTCAAGTGGAAGCTAGAAGAAATTAAAATAAGTCTGTACAAGCCAAACTACGACCTTGAGTGTGTCCCACCTGAATTTAGAGATCGTCTCCAGAATAGAGTTGATGTATCGAAGAACACTAATGACCGACAGGCCAGACAGGTGGTGGGCGGCATCATACATGAAGAAAGCAAAAAGTCAGGAAATAAAGAAAAAGCAAGAATAAAATGAATGCCCGAAGAGACTTTGAAACTAGCTCCTAAGTGGAGAGTAAAGTGAATGGGAGAAATTCTGAAGTCAAAGAGCTGAACGGAAGATTGCAGTGGGCAGCTAGAGAAAACAAAGCACTATAATGAAATGTGCCCAGACCTGGAGTTGGAAAAGCACAAGGAAAACACACTTGGCTTGTCTGACACGGAAGAAATGTAAGCCTCAGGTTGCAATATTGCAGGATTCTACAGGAAAATATTGAACCCTGCAGGAAGCATCAGAGGTGAAAGGAATGCAGAGTCACGGAACCAAAAGAATCCTTGGACACCCAGCCATTTCCAGAAGCAGTACGTGATCCAGAATCAAAAGTATCTACGGGGAAAAAAATCAGGCTGCATTGAAAGCATTCATGAGAAACAGAGCTCTAGGAATTGGTAGAGTATCAATTGAAACTTTTCAACAAAGGGATACAGTTTGGGGAGCACCACAAATTTTGGAAGCACCGGAAAACTGTTTACCCGTGCTTCATTGATGATACAAAGACTTGATTCAACTGTGTGCGTCGGGACAAATTACAGATAACAATGTGGACAGTGGGAATTCCAGAACACTTCATTGTGCACAGAACTGCGCTATACAGCTTGGTGTAAACTCAGAAAAGGTGTGGCAGTGTCAAATTCTTTTGCCATGCATTTTCAAACTTTGTGCTATACCAAGAAATTTGGAAGTCAGCGACCTGGCAAAATGCCTGGAAGAGATCCGTATTGATGGTCATTCCAAAGATAGGTGAGCTAGTAAAATGTGGCAATTCTCCAACAGTAGCATTAATAGCACATGGGAGGAAAATTTTCCAAAAGGTCATGAAAATCCAGCTGCAGCAGTACATCGGAACTGCCAGAAATTCAAGCCAGATTCAGAAGCCGTGTATGGAATGAGGGATATCATTGCTGCTGTCTGATAAACCCTAGCTGAAGGCAAAGAACACCAGAAAAATGCTCACCTGTGCTTCCTGGGCTCTGCAGAGGCATTTGACGGTGTGTGTGATGACACTTATGGATCCACCTTGTGAAACGTGAACATTTCAGAACGCTTCATTGTTCTCGTCAGCCAAGAGGCAGTCCGTCAAACAGAACCAAGGCGTCCCGCTCGGTTGACGCTCAGAAGAGGTGTGTGGCCGCGTTCAATCCTTTCACCGAGCTTGTGCAAGCTGCCTGCTGAGCAACTGATGTGAGAAGCCGTGCCGCACGAAGAACGGTGGCATCGGGACTGGAGGAAGACTCATTGATGGCCTTCCGCGTGCAGAGGACACCGCTCTGCTTGCTGTAAGTGAAGAGGGGTTGAAACCCTCCGATGAAGACCAAAGACCAATCAGCCTTCAGTTGAGAAAGCAGACATCCTCCCAACGGGACCCAAGATAAGCAACCTCAGGAGAAACGGAGACAAGGTGGAAACTGTCAAAGA